AAAGAGAGAGAGAGAAAAAAAAAGTTATTAAAATTCACCCGAATAATTGCCGAATCCACACGAAAGAATTATGAATCAGTTCGCTCAGAATTTGAATCACTTAATGAACCGCATTCGAAACGCTGTTCGAAGCTTTGAATTCCCGTTACAAAAAAAAAAAAAAAAAAAAAAAAAAAAAAAAAAAAAATGTATTTGAATCATTTTCCGAAAAAAAATTGAATCATTTTTCGAACTATTTTTCGAAACACAATTCAAAACTGGAATATCTGTCACTAAGGAAGCTTTTGTAATATTAATTAATGCATTATAAAGTGAATTTTGAATTATCGTAGCATTAATTAGAATAACAGGCTTCCATAGAGGGAATATAAATTATCATAATCTATTTAGAATAATTTTGAGATTTATGTGAACTGAAAAGATTTATTGATAAATATAGAATAAAAAGATTAGAAGTTATTTTGTAATGTTTGAACTTTTAATGGAATTAATAGAAAATGAGGGGCGATATTTTCAATTGTTAAAACATTATATGAAAATAGAAAAACACGACATATGTAGTATTTATTTGATATAAATGATTTAATTACAGAATCGGCAATGTAACTGCCATGTAAGTGCAAATATATATATCTATATTCTTATAACTTTTTTTTTTTTTTTTTTTTTTTTTTTTTTACAATCAACGCACTACATTTTCATATAATTTTCTTTGTATTTTAATGGAAATGTTCTAAGAACTTGTTATCTATTATTCATTATGATAACATGATGGTAATAAAACTATCATGACATAAATGACCATAATGATAATAATGATAATGATAAAAAGGATGATAATAATAACATTGATGATAATGATGATGATAATAAAGACAATAATAAAAATGATGATAATAATAACGATAACAATGATAATTATTACAATGATGATAATGATAATAATAGAACCAGTGCAAATGATAATGATGACGATAATGATAGTAGTAGAAGTAGTTGTAGTAACAGCACAAGGAGCAAGAACTACAATAGTACTGATAATGTTATAACAATAAACAACAAAATAGTGACGGTAACAATGAGTCTGACAACAACAAAATGACAACGGCAATGACAATAATAATAAGGATATTGATGATACTTATAATGGTGAAGATGATGATGATGATGATGATGATGATGATGATAATAATGATGATAGTGATGACGATAATAATGATGAATGATGTGATAATGATAATAATGATGATGATGATAATGATGAATAATGATGATAATGATGATAATGATAATAATGATGATAATGACAATGATGATGAATTAATGAATAATGATGATAATGGTAATGAAATGATGATGATAATGAAATGATATGATGATTAATGATAATGATGGTAATAATGATAATGATGGTAATAATGATAATGATGATAATGTTAATAATAATGATGAAAATGATAATGATAATGACAATGACGATAAAAATAAAAAATAATAGTAATGAGGATAACGATAACGAAAGAAAATGACACAACTGCTAAGATAACGATAAAAATAACGATAAAAATAACTGCTTCACTGAATCCATTTTTCGTTTCAGATTAACGGTTCGATAATAATGATAATGATAAGGACGATAAAAATAAAAAAATAATAGTAATGAGGATAACGATAACGAAAAAAATGACACAACTGCTCAAATAACGATAAAAATAACGATAAAAATAACGATAAAAATAACTGCTTCACTGAATCCATTTTTCGTTCCAGATTAACGGTTCGAGCCAGCTGTAAAATGCACCTTCGGAAGTTTCCTTTGGACACGCAGCTGTGTCCTCTTAGTTTAGCGTCTTGTGAGTAAATTTAGCGTTTGTTATTATTCTTTTTCTTCTTCTTCCTCTTCTTCTTTAGTTTTGTGAGTAAATTTAGCGTTTGTTATTATTCTTTTTTCTTCTCTTTCCTCTACTTCTTTTAGTTTTGTGAGTAAATTTAGCTTTTGTTATTATTCTTTTCTTCTTCTTCCCTTCTTCTTTAGTCTTGTGAGTAAATTTAAGCTTTGTTATTTTATTCTTTTCTTCTTCTTCCTCTTCTTCTTTAGTTTGTGAGTAAATTTAAGCGTTTGTTATTATTCTTTTTCTTCTTCTTCCTCTCTTCTTTAGTTTGTGAGTAAATTTAGCTTTTGTTATATTATCTTTTTCTTTCTTTTCCCTCTTCTTCTTTAGTTGTGAGTAATTTAGCTTTTTGTTATTATTCTTTTTTTCTTCTTCCTCTTTCTTCTTTTTAGTTTGTGAGAATTATTCTTTTCTTCTTCTTCCTCTTCTTCTTTAGTCTTGTGAGGTTTGTTATATTCTTTTTCTTCCTTCTTCCTCTTCTTCTTAGTTTTGAGTAAATTTAGCGTTTGTTATTATTCTTTTTCTTCTTCTTTCCTCTTCTTTTTAGTTTTGTAGTAAATTAGCGTTTGTTATTATTCTTTTTCTTCTTCTTTTCCTCTTCTACTTTAGTTTGGTGAGTAAATTTAGCGTTTGTTATTATTCTTTTTCTTCTTCTTCCTCTTCTTCTTTAGTTTTGTGAGTAAATTTAGCGTTTGTTATTATTCTTTTTCTTCTTCTTCCTCTTCTTCTTTAGTTTTGTGAGTAAATTTAGCGTTTGTTATTATTCTTTTTCTTCTTCCTCTTCTTCTTTAGTTTTGTAAGTAAATTTAGCGTTTGTTATTATTCTTTTTCTTCTTCTTCCTCTCTTCTTTAGTTTTGTGAGTAAATTTAGCGTTTGTTATTATTCTTTTCTTCTTCTTCCTCTTCTTCTTTAAGTTTTGTGAGTAAATTAGCGTTTGTTATTATTCTTTTTCTTCTTCTTCCTCTTCTTCTTTAGTTTTGTGAGTAAATTTAGCGTTTGTTATTATTCTTTTTCTTCTTCTTCCTCTTCTTCTTTAGTTTTGTGAGTAAATTTAGCGTTTGTTATTATTCTTTTTCTTCTTCTTCCTCTTCTTCTTTAGTCTTGTGAGTAAATTTAGCTTTTGTTATTATTCTTTTTCTTCTTCTTCCTCTTCTTCTTTAGTTTTTGTGAGTAAATTTAGCGTTTGTTATTATTCTTTTTCTTCTTCTTCCTCTTCTTCTTTAGTTTTGTGAGAAAATTTAGCGTTGTTATTATTCTTTTTCTTCTTCTTCCTCTTCTTCTTTAGTTTTGTGAGTAAATTTAGCGTTGTTATTATTCTTTTTTCTCTTCCTCTTCTTCTTTTAGTTTTGTGAGTAAATTTAGCGTTTGTTATTATTCTTTTTTCTTCTTCTTCCTCTTCTTCTTTAGTTTTGTGAGTAAATTAGCGTTTGTTATTATTCTTTTTCTTCTTCTTTCCTCTTCTTCTTTAGTTTTGTGAGTAAATTTAGCGTTTTGTTATTATTCTTTTTTCTTTCTTCTTCCTCTTCTTCTTTAGTTTTGTGAGTAAATTTAGCGTTTGTTATTATTCTTTTTCTCTTCTTCCTCTTCTTCTTTAGTTTGTGAGTAAATTTAGCGTTTGTTATTATTCTTTTTCTTCCTTCTTCCTCTTCTTCTTTAGTTTTTGTGAGTAAATTTAGCGTTTGTTATTATTCTTTTTCTTCTTCTTCCTCTTCTTCTTTAGTTTTGTGAGTAATTTAGCGTTTGTTATTATTCTTTTTCTTCTTCTTCCTCTTCTTCTTTAGTTTTGTGAGTAAATTTAGCGTTTGTTATTATTCTTTTTCTTCTTCTTCCTCTTCTTCTTTAGTTTTGTAAGTAAATTTAGCGTTTGTTATTATTCTTTTTCTTCTTCTTCCTCTTCTTCTTTAGTCTTGTGGTAAATTTCTTTTGTTATTATTCTTTTCCTTCCTTCCTCTTCTTCTTTAGTTTTGTGAGTAAATTTAGCGTTTGTTATTATTCTTTTTCTTCTTCTTCCTCTTCTTCTTTAGTTTTGTGAGTAAATTTAGCGTTTGTTATTATTCTTTTTCTTCTTCTTCCTCTTCTTCTTTAGTTTTGTGAGTAAATTTAGCGTTTGTTTAGTTGTTTATTTGGTTTAGGTTTTTAGACGTGTGGAAAATTACTTTCTTCTTATTATTACTTCTCTTCTTTTTCTTCTTCTTCTTTAGTTTTGTAAGTAAATTTATGTTGTTTTAATTATTTATTTGGTTGAGGTTTAGACGTGTGGAAAAAATACTTTCTTCTTATTCTTATTCTTTTTCTTCTTCTTCCTCTTCTTCTAGTTTTGTAAGTAAATTTAGCGTTTGTTGTTTAATTGTTTTTTGGTTTAGGTTTTTAAACGTGTGGTAAAATACTTCCTTATTATTATTCTTTTTTTTTCTTCTTCTTCTTAGTTTAGCGTCTTGTAAGTAAATTTAGCGTTTGTTGTTTAGTTGTTTATTTGGTTTAGGTTTTTAAACGTGTGGAAAATTACTTTCTTATTATTATTCTTCCTCTTCTTCTTTAGTGGAAAAATACTTTCTTCTTATTATTATTCTTTTTTCTTCTTCTTTAGTTTTGTAAGTAAATTTAGCGTTTGTTGTTTGTTTATTTGGTTTAGGTTTTTAAACGTGTGGAAAAATACTTTCTTATTATCATTCTTTTTCTTCTTCTTTAGTTTTGTAAGTACATTTAGCGTTTGTTTTAATTGTTTATTTGGTTCAGGTTTTCAAACGTGTGGAAAAATACTTTCTTATTATTCTTCTTCTTTCTTCTTTAGTGGAAAAATACTTTCTTCTTATCATTTATTCTTTTCTTCTTCTTTTTAGCTTTGTAAGTAAATTTAACGTATGTTTAATTATTTATTTGGTTTAGGTTTTTAGACGTGTGGAAAATTACTTTCTTCTTATTATTATTCTTTTTCTTCTTCTTTAGTTTTGTAAGTAAATTTAGCGTTTGTTGTTTGTTTATTTGGTTGAGGTTTTTAAACGTGTGGAAAAATACTTTCTTCTTATTATTATTCTTTTCTTCTTCTTCCTCTTCTTCTTTAGTTTTGTAAGTAAATTTAGCGTTTGTTGTTTGTTTATTTGGTTGAGGTTTTTTAAAGGCGGGAAAAATACTTTCCTTATTATTATTATTTTTTTTTTCTTTTCTTCTTCTCTTTTTAGTTTTGTAAGTAAATTTAGCGTTTGTTTAATTGTTTATTTGGTTTAGGTTTTAGACGTGTGGAAAATTACTTTATTATTATTATTATTATTCTTTTTCCTCTTCTTCTTTAGTTTTGTAAGTAAATTTAGCGTTTGTTGTGTAATTATTCATTTGGTTGAGGTTTTTAAACGTGTGGAAAAATACTTTCTTCTTATTATTATTCTTTTTCTTCTTCTTCTTCTTCTTAGCTTAGCGTCTTGTAAGTAAATTTATGTTGTTTAATTATTTATTTGGTTTAGGTTTTTAAACGTGTGGAAAAATACTTTCTTCTTATTATTATTCCTCTTCTTCTTTATTTTGTAAGTACATTTAAGCGTTTGTTATTATTCTTTTTCTTCTTTAGTTTTGTAAGTAAATTTAGCGTTTGTTGTTTAATTGTTTATTTGGTTTAGGTTTTTAAACGTGTGAAAAATACTTTCTTCTTATTATTCTTCTTTTTCTTCTTTCTTCTTTTTAGCTTTGTAAGTAAATTTATGTTGTTTAGTTGTTTAATTGTTTATTTGGTTTAGGTTTTTAAACGTGTGGAAAAATACTTTCTTATTATTATCTTCCTCTTCTTCTTTAGTGGAAAAATACTTCTTTCTTATTATTATTCTTTTTCTTCTTCTTCCTCTTTCTTCTTAGTTTGTAAGTAAATTTAGCGTTTGTTGTTTAATTGTTTATTTGGTTTAGGTTTTTAGACGTGTGGAAAATTACTTTCTTCTTATTCTTCTTATTCTTCTTTTTAGTCTTGTAAGTAAATTTAATATATGTTGCTTCATTGTTTATTTATTTATTTATTTATTATTATTACTTTTTGTAAGTGTTGATGTCTTGTACTGAGAAATCATATTATTTTTGGGGATTATGTTGTTATTTGATATTGTGATTTTTCTATTCTTTTCTTTCTTAAATACGAATGGAAATATGATCTGTATTTTGAAATATATATACGTTTCATTGTCCTCTATTGTAAGGTAAGGTTCTTCTTAATTAAAACCAAAAAAAAACATATTGTTATTTGAGACTGTGTACGCGCGTTCTTAACAAAACATTTAAGTAAATATAATTCTTTCTGGGAAATGATACAATGTTACGAAATATTTTGACAAAACAAAATATTAGTTTAAACTCACATAGAGAACCTTTGGTTAAAGAATTAAATTTCATATTTCTTTGGAAAAACACTATATATGATATGCACGCGCAAACAAACACACATACACACACTCACGCACATACAATTAAAACGCACACACTCACGCACACACAAACAAACGCACACAGCACACACAAACAAACGCACACACAAGTACACACAAACACAAACACTCACGTACACACACACACAAACAAATAAACAAACACGCACACTCGCAAACACACACACGCACGAGCGAGCTCACAAAGGTGTTTTTTCTTCTCTCTTTTGTGTCTTAGAGGGAAAAAAAGAGACAATCGCTGCTTTTGATGTTGCTAATTCTCTCTTTCTCTTTCTCTCCTTCCCATTCCCCTCACCTACCTTCCTTTATTAACCCACCTTCCCACCAACCCACCGCTAATCCCTCACTCTCCGTCTAACCCACAAAACCACATTTCTTTCCACATCCACCGCCCCCCCCCCCTTCCCCTCCCCTCCCTCCACCAAACCTACCTCCTTCCTTCTCTTCCCTCCCCTCCCTCCCTCCCACCAAACTCATCCCCTTCCTTCCCTTCTTCCACACCTACCTCCCCCCTCCTCCCCTCCTTCTCCTTCCCTCTCACCTCCTTTCCCCCACTCCTTCCCTCCCTCCCACCAACCCACCTCCTTCCCTCCCTCTCCCTTTCCCCTAACCTCCCACCACCCCCTTCCCTCCCTCCCACCCCCTTCCCTTCCCAACCTCCCCTTTCCCCATCCCCTCCTTCCTCCCCCCTCCTTTCCCCCCCCTTTCCCACCCACCCCTCCCGCCACCCCCTCCCTTCCCTTCCACCCACCCCTCCATTCCACACCTTCCCCTTCCCCTCCTCCACCAACCCACCTCCTTTCCCCCTACCCTTCCCTCCCTCCCACCCCCTTCCCTTCCCAACCTCCCCTTTCCCCCCATCCCCTCCCTTCCCTCCCTACCACCACCCCACCCTCTCCCTCCCATCCACCCCTTCCCTACCCAACCTCCCCCGTTCCCCCCACCTCCTTCCCTCCCCCCCCCCCCCCTTCCCTTCCCAACCTCCCCTTTCCCCCTCCCCTACCCTTCCCCCCATCCCTTTCCCTCCCACCACCAACCCACCCCAAACAGACGGGTACAAACGCCACAGACATAGTATACAAGTGGGCGCCCCAACTCGTGACGGTGGATAGTGACGTCAGCATCGCCCAGTACGAGTTGGTGAAGATTACGACCAACTCGACCAAAGTCACCGTTAGGAGAAAAGGTAAGAGAGGCTGATAAAGGAAGGAGATGAGGTAAGGGATAATGAGGTGAGGGGAAGGGAGGGGGATAAAGGGGAAAGGGGAAAGGAGGGGATAATTGGGAAGGGGAAGGGAGGGGAATAAAGGGGAAGAGGAAGGGAGGGATAAAGTATGCGGGAGAAGATGAGGGAAGAGGGGAGGGAGGAATAAGGGGAAGAGAGGGAGGGAAGAAGGGAAGGGGAAGAGAGGGAATGACAAAATAGGAAGGGATGGAATAAGAGAAGGAGACAGAAGAGAATAAAGGAGGGTATAAGATGATAGGAAAGGAAGGATTAAAGAAAGGTGGACCATAAGGTAAGGGGAAGGGAGGAAAGGAAATAAGATGTAATAGAAAAGAAAGAAAATATAGATGAGAATAAAAGGACAAAGGGAAAAAATAGAAGAGAATGAGGCAAAACATGATAAAGGGAAGGATATAAAACAATCAAGAAAATAAAGAAAAAGAAGTAAGATGGGGATAAAGAAATGGAATAAAAACAAGGAATGATAAAAAAGGAGATAAAATAGAAGCAGAAAGAATAAAGTAAAGCAGTAGCCCATACGTCTTGCCTCAATAGTCCCATAGTATGTCGAAATGGGGTCTTCTGAGTAAGAAAAAAAATGTATATAAATAAACGAACATGAAATATCGTGAACCATTTGGTAACTTTAACTCTATGGCATCCAAAAGTAAACAGAAATTATTATTTTTTAGTAGTTCCCTTTCCCTCCCTTCGCACCCTAAATAGAGTAGTAATTAAACACTGTAGCAAATGTTGGTTATATACATGGCTACTGAATATTTTTGGAATATTTTAGGCCTGTAACCCTTAGCGTAAACAAAGGAGCAGTCTATTAAGGTATGTTCTGTTTTGGCTTGGTTCTCGTACGCTAAAAGCTTCAAAAACGTGAAAAATATTCAAATCAGTTTCAATACGTATGCTTCTGTTCCATTATTTAGGAGATAAACTATAATATTTATGATAAAAACCATGATAAGTGGTTGCTAGACAAAACTAGAGAGCATGGGCCCATCAGCAACTATATTATATGGTGTCTGGGATGGTGAGAAACTATAAGAATATAATGGTGTACTCTGAGAATATTTTCCACATATCTAATTGAAAGTAAAGGAGGAGGAGGAACAAGGAAATGTACAAGGGAAAAAGAAAGAAAAAGAATGGCAGTAATAATGGTGTACTATGAGAATATTTTTCACATGTTTATTGTCTGAGGGAAAGTATTAGTAGGAAAGAGCAAAGGGAAAAGGAAAAAAAAAAAAAAAAAAAAAAAAAAAAAAATGGAATCATATACATTTATTTTACATTTTGTTGGAAATGGAAAATGTGAAGACAGCAATATTGTTGAATTGCCAGAGGGAAATTATTGGCAGGAAGATGCAATGAGATGAACAAGGGAAGAAGAGAGAAAAAAGGAGGGAAACATATACACATATTTTTCACATTTTGTCGGTAATGGAAATGTGAAGAAAACAATAATGTTGAATTGCCAGAAGGAAATTAGTGTAAGGAAGAAGCAAAGAGATCCACAGGGGAAAAGGAGAGAGAGAAAAAGGAATCACATATACATATATTCCTCTCATTTTACTGGATATTAAACAGAAAGAAAGAAAAAAGAAAACAGAAGTAATGTTAGTTTTGTGGAGGGAAATTAGTGTAAGGAAGAAGCGAAGAGATTCACAGGGGAAGAGGAGAAAGAAAAAAAGGAATCACATATACATGTATTCCTCTCATTTTACTGGGGAAAAAAAATAATAAGTTAGTATTGTGGAGGGGAATTAGTGTAAGGAAGAAGCGAAGAGATCCACAGGGGAAAAGGAGAGAGAAAAGGGAATCACATATACATATATTCCTCTCATTTTATTGGATATAAAAAAGAAAGAAAATAATAAGTTAGTATTGTGGTGGGAAATTATTGGCAGGAAGAAGCGAAGAGATCCACAGGGGAAAAGGAGAAAGAGAAAAAGGAATCATATATACATATATTCCTCTCATTTTACTGGAAATAAAGAAAAAAAAAAATAAGAGTATTGTGGAGGGAAATTAGTGTAAGGAAGAAGCGAAGAGATTCACAGGGGAAAAGGAGAGAGAGAAAAAGGAATTACATATACATATATTCCTCTCATTTTACTGGAAATAAGAAAAAAAGATGAAGACGGCAATAATAAGTTAGTATTGTGGAGGGGAATTAGTGTAAGAAAAATCAAAGAGGTCCACAGGGGAGAAGAAAGAAAAAAAAGGAATCATATATACATATATTCCTCTCATTTTACTGGGAAAAAAAAAAAATAAGTTAGTATTGTGGAGGGAACTTATTGGCAGGAAGAAGCGAAGAGATCCACAGGGGAAAAGGAGAGAGAGAAAAGGGAATTACATATACATATATTCCTCTCATTTTACTGGAAATAAAAAAGAATAATAACAATAAGTATTGTGGATGGGAAATAGAAAAAAAGATGAAGACGGCAATAATAGGAAATTAGTGTAAGGAAGAAGCGAAGAGATCCACAGAGGAGGAAGAAATAGAAAAAAAGGAGTCACATGCATATATTTCTCTCATTTTGCTTGAAAAAAAATTGAAGACAGCAATAATACTAAATTGCCAGAGGGGAATTAGTGCAAGGAAGAAGCAAAGAGATACACAGGAGAGGAAGAGAGAGAGAAAAAAAGTCATATATACATATATTTCTCTCGTTTTGCAGGAAATGAAAAAATTGAAAACGACAATAATAAACCAGTATTGTGGATAGTTCGACTAACATCTTACCTCATTTTTTTAAATAACCGGTTCTAATAACACGAAGTTCTTGTTCAAAAAATTACTTAGAATTGAACTTAATGTTAATTTGACTGAAATAATTCGAGCAGAATTTAAGGAGGAGGAGAGGATGATAAATGAAGGAAATGAGGTCGGAAATGATAAAGCTCAGACACAAGGCATGGGAGAGGATTAGTCAAAAGGGAGAAGGAAAAATGTAAGAGAAATGGAAGGAGGGAGGGAAGGAAGGAAGGAAAGGAAAGGGAATAAAAAGAAGAGGATGAGATAAGGACATAGTAAGGAGAAAAAGACACTAAGATGATTAACTCAATTCGACTAAAGTCACCGTCGGGAGAAGAGAAATAAGGTCGTTTTTTCTCTGCCATTATCTCTTCTATCAAACTCACGAATTCCATCACTTTTCGTAGCGTTAAACAGAAAAAAATATATTGAATAGATGCTGAAAAGCGTAAATAAAATTTCCAACTCATGTACAGAAATAAACAAATCTACATGTACACGTAGCGTGGCGTCTCCGTTGCCATGGAAACGGGCTTGTGAAATGGGGCGGCTGTTCCCGTAGACTTCAGTACGGTTTGCCTCAATATAACGTGGAAGGAAAGGGGGCAATAAATGAAGTAAGAGAAGTTAATGAGGAAAGAGATAGGAAGGAAGTGATAAAGGAAGGAGTTAGGGTAAAGGTGAGAAGAAGGTAAGAGGGAGTTTAGGAAGAGATGGGACAGAACGATAAAGGAAAAGAATAGATAAAGAAAGATCTGATAATCTGTGTTAAGATAAAGGTAAGAAAGAGAGCTGATAAAAAAAGGAGATAGGATATGAGAAGGATTTCTTAAAGGTAAATGAGAAGTGACAAGAAGGCGATAAGCTAATATACGAAAGGATGTGGACACTGAGGTAAGGAGGAGAGGGGAAAGAATGAGGGGAATAAGAGAGACGGCGATAAAAGTGAATAGGAATTTCGAAGTTGATGTCTGACGTAATCATATTTTCAAAAGGACCAATGACTCAGTTCAACGGTCACTTTTTCCCCCTGATTTTGATTGGAAAAGCACTTTTCTTTCTCTGATTCTGGAAAAAAAACATTAATAATAATGATGATAACGATAATAGTATTTTTTTTATAATGATCTTTCTTGATTTTGACTAGACAGGCACTTTGCTTTCGCTAATTTTGGTGTAAGGACATTGTTTCCCTGATTTTCACTAGAAGACTAGAAAAGCACTTTATTTTCCCTGATTTTAACTAGACCAGAAAAGCACTTTATTTCCCCTTATTTCGACTTGACAGGCACTTTACATTCAGTGGCTTTGGCTATAAAAATCACTTTAATTTCCGTGATTTTGATCAGAAAAGCACTTTATTCCCCCTAATTTTAACTAGAAGACCAGAAAAGCACTTTTTTCCCCGATTTCAACTAGAAGACCAGAAAAGCACTTTAATTTCCCCGATTTTAACTAGAAGACCAGAAAAGCACTTAATTCCCCCTCATTAGAACTAGAAGACCAGGAAAACACTATATTTCCCCTGATTTTGACTAGATCAGAAAAGCACTTTATTTCCCCTGATTTTAAGTAGACCAGAATTTTTTTTTCTTGATTTTGACTTGACAGGCACTTTACATTCAGTGGCTTTGGCTAAAAAAATCACTTTAATTTCCGTGATTTTGACCAGAAAAGCACTTTATTTCCCTTGATTTTAACTAGAAGACCAGAAAAGCACTTTATTTTCCTTGATTTTAACTAGAACCAGAAAAAGCACTTTTTTCCCCTGTTTTGACTAGAAGACCAGAAAAGCACTTTATTTTCCTTGATTTTAACTAGAAAACCAGAAAAGCACTTTATTTTCCATGATTTTAACTAGAAAACCAGAAAAGCACTTTATTTCCCCTGGTTTTGACTAGACAGGCACTTTACATTCCGTGACTGGCAAATAAAAAAAAAAAAAAAAAATCACTTTAATAACCATGATTTTGACCAGAAAAGCACTTTACTTTCACCGATTTTGACTAGAAACGCGCGTCACTTTCACTGACTGTGTAGAGAGGCACTTTACTTTCGTTGATTTTGACTAGAAAAGCACTTTTGACATGAGGAAAGAAGGGTCCATGAATCTGACGATAAAACGATAAATGTGAATTGAGGGAAAGACTTAAAGAAATAAAACTGAGATTAAATTGTCTTACGG